GAGGTCCCCTACTATTATTGTGTTGTTTTTAACATCTTCCTTTAGGTCTGTTAATAGTTGCTTTATGAATCTTGGTGCTCCTGTGTTGGGTGCATAGATATTTATAAGCGTTATTTCTTCTTGATGAAGTGAATGGACAATGAATTTTTGACAAGGGAGCCAAGAACATACAATGCAGAATGGAAAGTCTCTTCTATAAATGGTGCTGGGAAAACTGAACAACCACATACAAAAGAATGAAAGTAAACCATTATTTTACATCATACGTGAAAATTAACTCACAACGGTTTAAAGTCTTGTATGTAAGTCCTGAAACCATGAAACATATAGGAGAAAACATAGGCAACACGCTCTTTGACATCAGTGGTAACAGCATATATTCAAGCACCATGTCTGACTGGGCAAGGGAAACAATAGAAAAACAAATGGGACTACAACAAACTAAAAAGCCTCTGCACAGCAAAGGAAACCATCAACAAAATGAAAAGACAACCAAATGCTTGGGAGAAGATATTTGCAAACCACATATCTGATAAGTGGTTAATATCCATAATATACAAATAATTCATACATCTCAACAACAAAAAAAACTAAGAAGCCAATTAAAAGATGGGCAAAAGATGTGACCATACATTTCTCCAAAGAAGATACACTGATGGCCAGAAGGCACGTGAAAAGTTGTTCAACATCGTTAACTCTCAGGGAAATGCAAATCAAAACTACAATGAGATATTACCTCACTCCCATCAGAATGGCTATAATTAACAAGACTGGAAACAAGTGTTGGAGAGGATGTAGAGAGTAGACAGCTCTCATACACCACCAGTGTGAGTGCACACTGGTGCAGCCACTACGGAAAACAGTAGGGAGATTCCTGAAAAAATTGAGAATAGAACTACCATATGATCCTGCTATTGCAATGCTGGGTATTAATCCAAAGAACATGAAAACATGAATGCAAAAAGATACATGCACCCCTATGTTCATCGCAGCATTATTCACAATAACCAAGACTTGGAAGCAACCTAGGTGCCCATCAATGGATGAATGGATAAAGAAGATGCCGTGTAGATACACAATGGAACACTACTCTGCCCTCAGAAATGATGAAATCTGGCTACTTGTGACAACATAGATGGACCGTGGGGGTATTATGCTAAGTGAAATAAGCCAGAGGGAGAATGTCAAATACAGTATGATCTCACACATAAGTAGAAGACAAAAAAAACAACAAACAGTCACATAGAGACAGAGATTGGATTGCTGGTGACCAGAGGGGAAGTGGGGAGGGAGGAGGGAGAAAGGGGTGATTAGTCACATGTGTGTCGTGATGGATTGTGATTAGTCTTTGGGTGGTGACCATGATGTAATCCACACAGAAATGGAAATATGATGATGTACACCTGAAATTTATATAATGTTATAAACCAATGTAACTACAATAAAAAAATTAATTGAAAAAATGAAAAATAGAAGTACTGCATGATCCAGAAATCCTACTTCTGGATATATTTCCTATTGAATGAAATTATGATCTCAGAGAGATATCTGCCCTCCTCATTTCCTTGGAGCATTATTCACAATAGTGAATATATGAAACAACCTAAATGCCCATCTACAGTTGAATAGATAAAGAAGATGTGGTGTATATGTACAATGGAATACTATTCATCCTTTAAAAAGAAAGAAATTCTGCCATACGTGACAACATGAATCAACCTGGAGGACATTACGTCAAACACAATAAGCCAGACAAAGACAAATAAAACATACTTTCACTTACAAGTGTAGTCTAAAATAGTCAAACCCATAGAAACAGTAGAATTGTGGTTTCCAGGGGCTGGGAACAAGGGGGATAAAGAGAGATGCAAGTTTCAGTTTTGCAGATGAATGAGTTCTGGAGATCTAAAGTACAGCCATGTGACTACAGTTAGCAAGACTCTATTTTGTCATTGAAATTTGCTTAAAGGGTAGATCTTAAGTGTTGTCACCACACATGCAAAAAAATGGTAGCTCCATAAGGTGATGGATGTGGTAATTAGTTTGATTATTTCACAATGTTTACTTATATCAAAACATCACATTGTATATCTTAAAAATAAACCATTTTTCTTTGTCAATTACACCTTAATAAAGTTGAAAAAATTGTTTCACGTAATTACACCAAAGATTTTGGAAGTTCTTCCATATCTAAGAAGTTATTCTCATTATTAATATATATATTTACAATGTTATTTCTGATCAATTATTTATTACCATCTTCCCCTACAGAAGATAAGGTTCTAGCTGCACTTTACCTGAACTCTGAGTACTCATAGATATAAATACATGTGTGTATGTGCACATGTGTGTGGGCACATGTGTGTGCATTGTGTGCATGTGTGTTTGTATAATTTTTCTTCTTTTTGTCATTTTTGCCCTCACCGTTGCATCTCTCTTTCTCCATTTTGGGTTCTTTGTTCTCCTAATTGAATCACATCACTTAGTATTCCTTTCACTGAGTGGGACAATAGCAAAATATCTAAGCACTTGAAGATCTGGAAATGCCTTCTTTCACTCTTGTTCTCTTTTACAAGTTAGTTGGAAACATTTTCTTATTTCAAATAAAGTGTAGGATTCAACTACCAGGAGAAGAAAATGCATCTGACGGACAAGGACCCATCCCCCCCAAACTCTTCTTATATCTCAGGAAAACATGGCCCCACGTGGTGGGTTTAACCTGTGAGATTCAGGTCAGAATCTCCTCTTGTTTAGGGACTTGCCCCGCTGACCCTTTCTCCTTTGTCCCTTAAAAATAATTTGGCTCCATACATATACAATTCTTCACAGACTCCTAATTCCTGGAAAGTATTTCTCCCATCTCTTCTGGCGTCTCTTTTTCTCCGGGGAGGTCTGGTCCCAAGAGCTTGTCCTTCTATTGATGGTTATTTGCATTTTCTCTAGGAAGTAATTTTAGGACTTTTCGTAGGGTCCCAGGCAAGTTCTCTTCAATTTTTTTGAGGTGAAATTCACATAAAATAAAATTGACCATTTAAAAGTGTACAATTCAGTGTAAGATATATGTTTTTAATTTACCCTTCAATTTCTCCATTTACCATGAAGGGTCAGAACACAGATGTCATTTTTAATTGTATGCCTCATGGCACAGACTCTTTCCTTGTTTCTGTAAAAAGTTAACTCCTCATCTCATGAGCTCTTGATAGATGCCATTCTCCCTTCTTTCCTCTGACGCTTACAATAGATACGACATTGGCCCTCCTCATTCTATTGCTCAGGAATCTTAAATTCATTTTGTGGTCTGTCTGCACTGCATTCCAGAAAATTTCCTCATTTTTGTGTTCTGCTTTCATAATGGGTCTTCAGTTGTCTTGTCCTTGAGGGATGAAATTTTTTATTGTCTTCATTCTACTGAATGTTTCATCTCTAAAATTTCTAACTCATTAAAATAGTAGCCTATTCTATAAAAGTATTCCATACCTTTGCATCAAAAAATCCATTTCTGTCTTTATTTTTCGTATATTTAAACACACTTGAAATTACTCTCATATTTTCCTATTGACTCTATTCCTTGCAGGCTGTAATCACCATTAATCAGTAGCTCGTTGACCATAGCATGTTCATCATGATTGGGATGATCCTAGACTCTCCATTCTTGTTGGAAGTCTCTGCTCCCACACACCTGATTTTCCAGAGAAGGTTTTCTCAGAGCTGACCTGGGGGTCAAGCTGACAAGGGGGGACTGTTCCAGCTGTTCCAGCCCCGAGGTGTTCACTCTGTCAAACTTAGCCCCTACTAAGGGTTTTGCCGTGAGGGATGGTCCAATGGGCACCTCACACTCACATGTGGGACACACACCATGGCTGACAACGCTGGATTCCATCTGTTTCAGCCCACACAGAGGAAGTTGGTTGGTGCTGACCATGGGCTTGGGGCAGTGGGGAGATATTCCAGCTCCTGCCCAGAAACAGAGGGGAGGGGAACCACAGCTTCCAACCTTCACCTGGAGCCCTGATCCCTCCCTTCCTGTGAGGACCTGGAGGTCCTCTCTCCCTAGGACCCCTTGATGGCCCCAGTCACCGGGGGCCACTCACCTTTTTTCTCTATTCTTTCCTGTGATTCCCTCTCCATCTTAGGAATGCTGTTTATATTTTTGGAAAATGTATGTGGCTACATATTTCAGAAATATTTTAAGTTACATTTATCAGTTTTAGGAGCAGACAGGAGCTCTGGGGTGGGCACGGCAATAATCCACTTGACTATGGAGTCTTACCCCACGATTCCTTCATGGCCCAACTCACTCTTGTCTTAACCCGACCTGGGAGTTGTTTTAACTCTCCCATGAACCCAGTAACATTGGCTCCACAACCAATTTGCTGAGGGGGTTTCATGAGAACATACTGTCAATGATGAAACCAAGGCTCAGAGATTGGAAATTAATGTCAAGTTCACATGGCCAGTGCATGTTGCATGAATATTTAAATAAAAATCACCTTTGTCCCCCAAATCATAGTGCTAACCCACTCATTGACCCCTGAAGATAAGGATAGGACCCCAGGATGAGGAGGAGATTTTGCCCAAGGGAACAAGGGGATTGAGGGGGCAAGAATGACTCAGAGGTTTGTTTCCAGCAAGATGGGTGTGGACGTTTTTGGAAGAAACAAAGGAAGTCCATGAATTAAGCTGTGATAGAAAGAATGCCCACACTCTGGGGCCAGGAAAGGAGTGATGTTTCCTCCCCTTATTTCCCTGTATTTTTCCTTTGTGCTCATTTTCCCAATGGCCTCGACCTGAACTGTACAGTTAGATGTTGAGCGTGTGTCTCTGCTGATCTGAGCTCTGCAGGCACCAGGAAACTGCGTGTTCCCTAGAGCATCTCCAGGGCCTGGATGACCACTGTCTATGGTGAGGACCCCACAGGGATGTGCTTATGGATGAGCTGAGGATGAAGGAGACCCCATGGGGGAGGATCTAACAAGGAATGGCGTGCCCTAGGTCACCCTTACCTGGAAGGGGCATCTCAGGAATACACTGGAACTATTTGCTGCAAAGTCAGGTCCATTCGTGAGATGAATGCAGATCAGGCAGAAAATGGGGGTCAGGGGAGACACTATTTCTATTTAAAATGTCTCCAGAGAGCCTGGTACAAACTCAGCCCCAGTGTTTGGGAGGGGTATTTCCTCTTCTCCTAGGGCTGCTGACATGACAACCTCGTGACTGTCTTTTCTTCCGGGTACCCAGGTCTCCTCCACCAGCACAGCCAGAGGAACCGGCAGAAGACATCATGTCCCCCAAGCTCACATTCCTGCTCTGCCTTGGTGAGATTTCAGGAGGGCGAGAACAAGCCCTAGTCTGGGAGGGACCCCACCTCACAGTCAGGCCCTGATCTGTCAGGAGACCCCAGGAATCAGGAGACTTATGGGGAGAAGAGGTTTCGCTCAGGATTCAGGGGTAAATCTCTAACAGGAAACTCTCTTCCAGGGCTGAGTGTGGGACTGAGGACCTCAGAGCAGACAGGTGAGTCTGTTTCCGGGTGTCCCAGATCCCAGCTCCTCACTGGCGACAAGGGACAACTTCCGGATACTGGGGAGGGAGAATAGCGGTTTGGGGCTGAGAGTTCTGGGATGGCTAGAAGAGTCTTGTGAGAGCCAGCGAACTGATGGTGGGGAATGTGTAGTGACCCAGCTTCTGATTTCCCTCCAGGGACGCTCCCTAAACCCACCATCTGGGCTGAGCCAGGCTCTCTGATCTCTTGGGGGAAGCCTGTGGCCATTTGGTGTCAGGGGACCCTGGAGGCCAAGGAGTATCTAGTATATGGAGAGGGAAGCTCAGAGCCCTGGGACAGACAACAACCACTGAAGCCCAAGGCCAAGGTCAGGTTCTCCATCCCACACATGGAGGAACAACATGCAGGGAGACATCGCTGTTACTATCTCAGCCATACTGGCTGGTCAGAGCACAGCGACCCCCTGGAGCTGGTGGTGACAGGTGAGAGCACACTCTGGGTCCCAGCCTCAGCTCAGGAAGGGGGTCTGCTCTCAGGGGTTTGTTCCCTCTCACAACCCAGCCGTGGGGGATATGAGGGAGCTGTGAGCCCCATTTAACACACTGCCTCCTCCTCTCCTAGGATTCTACAGAAAACCCTCCCTCTCAGCCCTGCCGAGCCCTGTGGTGACCTCAGGAGGGAACGTCACCCTCCGTTGTGGCTCATGGCTGAGATTTGACAGGTTCATTCTGATTGAGGAAGGAGAACACAAGCCCTTCTGGACCCTGGACTCACAGCGACCCCTCAGGGAGCAGTTCCAGGCCCTGTTCCCTGTAGGCCGTGTCACCCCCAGTCGCAGGTGGACGTTCAGATGCTATGGCTGTTACAGGTTCACTCCCCAGGTGTGCTCAGAACCCAGTGACCCCATGGAGCTACTGGTTCCAGGTAAGGACATCCTCCCCTTGCCCCATCCATATTTTAAGGCAACAGACAGGGGTCTATACTGCCAGGAGAGCCTCAGATGAGAGGGTGGGTGAGGACAGCAAGGGGTGTCACCTGGAGCAGAGACACAGAAGGTGAGAGACAGTGAGACCTGGGATCCAGAATGGAAAAGGGGATTTATGGGAGGAATCATCCCTTACAATCTACATGAGGTCCTTCTCTCAGGTGTGTCTGGGAAGCCCTCCCTCCTGAGCCAGCAGGGCCCTATCGTGACCTCTGGACAGAAGTTAACACTCCAGTGTCTCTCTGATGTCTGCTATGACAGATTCGCTCTGTCCAAGGAGGGGGGACATGACCTCCCTCAGCCCCTCAGCCAACAGCTCCAGACCGGATGCTCTCAGGGTGATTTCCCCCTGGGTCATGTGATCTGGTCCCATGGGGGCCGGTACAGATGCTACGGTCGACACAAGCTCTCCTCCAACTGGTCAGCCCCCAGCGACCCCCTGGACATCCTGGTGGCAGGTGAGGAGCCAGTGGCTTCAGTCAGGGACCCAGACTCTGCACAGACCCTGCCAGGGGAACCCCACATGGTGATGCTGGAAAGAGGGATGCGGGGTTCCCAGGGAGGGAGGGAGACAGAGAGATGGGATGGGCAGGGAGAGACTAAGAGAAAAAAAAGACAGATGGAGATGAGTTTCCTCAGAGAGACGCCTGGGGACTCTCAGTCCAGAATAGGATACAGCCCCTCACTCGCCTTTCATCTCTCTAGGACTACTCGATGACACACCTGCCCTCTTGGTGCTACCAGGCCCCACAGTGGCCTCAGGAGAGAATGTGACCCTGCTGTGTCAGACACAGAGCCGGAGGGACAGTTTCCTTCTGTCCAAGGAGGGGGCAACGGATCCCCCCCTGCGTCTTAGATCAAAGTACCAAGCTCAGCAGTACCAGGCGCAGTTCTCCATGAGTCCTGCAACCTCAGCACATGCGGGGATGTACAGGTGTTACAGCTCATGCAACACCTCCCCCTATGAGTTGTCACAGCCCAGTGTCCCCCTGGAACTCATGGTCTCAGGTGAGAGGCGCCGAAACCATTCTTTCTCAGTCACTCAGCTCAGGGCCTTGTCCCCGAGAGAACTCTGGGGTGGGATGGGAATGAGGGGGCCCCAAGGGAGGGTCACCCAGAGAGGGATCTGTCCCTCAAGGTATAGGAGGAAAACCGGGCCCTCCCATGCCAGCCCCTTCCCACGACACCATCACCAGAATCCTCCATGTGGGTGGAGGGAGAGACTTGGGGACCACAGGGCAGAGGAAGGATAATTGTGTGAGCAGAGATGGGGTCTCTGGGGGAAGCTCCAGCCCCTCATCTCCTCTCGTCCGTTCTCTCAGGACACTCTGGGGATCCCACCTCCCCACCCACAGAACACAACTTAATGGCTGGTGAGTCACAGGGGCCTCTGTCCAGAGAGCTCACAGTTTCTCCAGGCCTGTCTCTCGAGACTCAGCTGACCTGACTCCTAGTTCCTCTCTCAGCACAGCTTGTCTCCATGGGGCTGGGAGTCGGACAGAGATGGGGGTCCACAGGGCTCCAGGGCTGTGAGGCTGGTGGATGGTGGGTGGGGTGGTCATGGCAGAGGGAGATGTTGGGTCTCAGCCTGGGAGAGGCTCAGCCTTGTGAAATGGAGAGAAGAGCCCCCCTCACCCCTATCCTGACCCCCAGGAGGCTCTGAGGACCGACTCTCCACAACGGAGTCAGGCCTGTGGAAGGGTAAGAGATGGACTCTGCGGGGAGGTGGTGGGTGGGCCCATGGGGGCGAGGGCTGAGTTAAGACATCAGGAGACTCTGGCTTAGACATACCTCCCCTGTCTGGGCCTCAGTTTCTCCAAGTGTAAAGGAGAGAATTGTGACCCAGAGCTTAGACTCCCTGTCAGTTCTGACTATGGGTCTGATCACCTGGGAGAGGAAGCCTCACAGGGAAGCCCCCCAGCATGTGATTTTATGGGGGCCTGTCCCTTCTGCAGCAGTGATGGCGACATTTTACAGAGGAGGGAGGGGCTGGACAAGGGTCCATGGTGTTCAGGTCCTTTCCCTTCAGCTCAGGGTGCTCAGCTGGAGTGGAAAGAGCAAGGGAGGAAGTCAGCTCCACCGGGTCAGTATCCAGTTTGGCAGCTCCCTCCCTGGGGCCCTGAGCAGCTCATTTCTCTTCTTTGAGGCTCACTTCCTACTGTTTAAAGCTCCCATCCTGCTCACAGGCCTGCGGTGACATTAGGTTAAGTGAGGGGCCCAGGAATTACAGAGCTCAGGAAGGGTAGAGCTCCCATCCCAGCCCAGACCTTCCCACGGGGCTTCACGGCCCTGCACAGTGGGGGACAGATCCCTGGAGAGATGCAAGGTCCACCTCATGCAGCCCACCCTCCCCCAGATCCTTGGTGTGTGGGGGACGGGGAGTTGATAAGGAAGAATGTTCAGCTGCATATGATACACTGGGACAGGCCCTGTCTACCGATGAGGAGCCCGGGAACAAGAAGCTGGTGGTCACCTGGGGGCAGCATGATGAGAACACAGGGAACTCACAGCTTTGGGTTCGAGTTTCAGCTTTCCCACTTCAGGCTGGGTGACTTGGGCAGATGATTTGCCTCTCTGTGCCTCAGTTTCCTTCTCTGGGAAATGGGCAGGTGGGGATGGAAATCATATGTTGTGAGATTGTTGTGAGTGGGAGGAGATGAATGCAGAGACCACAGCACATGTCTGACACATATTAGGTGCTCAAGTAAATGGCAGCAGTGGCTCAATCATGACATCACATGTGCCCAAGGTCTCAAACCGTACCAGAACGTTCTGATCGGGATCTCTGTGGCCTTCATCCTGCTGCTCTTCCTCTTCCTTCTCCTCCTCATCCGACATCGACGACAGGGCAAATGCAGGACATCAGGTAAGTAGGGAACAAGGAGACCCAGGTCACAGGAGGAGGTGGGCTTAGGGCACCAGCCAGTGGGAAACCAAATAGATGGGAAGTCCAGCGTAGAAAGACTTTTCCAGAATCTCAAATCAGAAATCCAAAACAAAACACTTCATTTCAGCACAGGTATACACATTAAGGTCTTTTCATCTTTTCAATCTCACGAAATATTGAAATATACACACAAGTCTCTGTTAAGTTTTCCTTCTTTTCTCCCAAATCACATGTGGAGGGTGGGTGGTCATAACCTCCCAGGGCTGAGACTCTGTCTGTCTTGACTCTGCCCAGAGACAGGCTGGTCTCCAAATTCTTGTGGGGGCTGCAAACCCAGAGCCCAAGGACAGAGGCCTGTTCATCAGGTCATTATCACCCCGAAGACCCCAGACTCACACCCCACCCTCAGCCCCATCTCTGTCTTTAACACTCCCGTCTCCTCCCCCAGCTCCAGCCCAGCTGCTGACACCCAGGAAGAGACCCTCTGCGAGAGGAAGAGGAGAGTCTGCCCTGGGGGTGGGCACAGAGATTTCAGTGGGCCATGAGGGGATAGGCTAGGAGGATCTCAGGATTTGGGGTGAGAAGGACTGAAATCCCCTGAGCGATCTCGGCCATCTCCTCACCCGTGGACTTCAGTGGCCCATCTGGGAGCAGAGGGGGCTGCAGCCCTGAGAGACCTCAGGGAATCCTGACAAGAGACACACTCCCTGTTCTGCCCCAGCAGATGCTGCCGTGAAGAGCACACAGCCTGAGGAGGGGGTGGAGCTGCACCCTCAGGTGAGACCCCTGCCCTGTCCAGGCCACCAGGGACCTTCCTGTTGTCAAACTTCATCCAATGGACACTTGGCTGTCCCCGTATCACCCAGCTCTCAGCAGCGTCCCACACTGACCTCTCCTCTCGGGCACCTGGGGCATCCTGCTGTGACTTCACTTTTGGTTTCTGTGACTACATGGTCCCCTTTCCTGATTCCTCTTCCTCTGTCTGATCTTCTGGTTGTTGGACTCATCCCCAGGTCTCAAGAGGATATATGAATTAGTGAATGACCCACAAGTTCCCTAGGCTCCCCTTCATTCATTCACCCAACAGTGTACACAAGGAGCTCACTGTTTAACCGGCTCCATTCTTGTGCTGCAGGTACAGCAGTGAGAAAAACTTTCTCCACACTCCTTAGCTCACCTTGTGGGTGAGAGACAACATGCAAATATGCAGGTAGCATCCTGGAGTGCAATGTGCTGTTAAGGAAAATAAAGTAAGAAAAGGGGATAGAGTGCATGGTAGGGGAAGAGGAAACAGCAAGTGCAACGATCCTGAGGTAGCAACATGCTTTTTCAGGAAAATGGGCTGTGTGGCACCAGCCAAGTGAGTGGGAGATAGCATGTTGGGATAAGAATCTGAACTCAGAAAGCATTCAGATGTCCAAGGTTAGGAAGTCCCTGAAGATTCCATTAAGGAAGTGACTTCACTGTGTTACAGTGTGGACAATTTACTGGAGGAGGTCAGCACTGGGATCCAGGAGACACTGTTTCTGTCCCTCTGTCTCCTTCTATCAGGGCCCTCAGGAAATGAAGAACACCCAAGTGAGCCACTCCAGATCAAGACTCAGACAGGGGGTAGCCACCTCTCCTTCCCCCGTGTCAGAGGAATCACCAGAAGTAAAAGACAGGCAGATGGACAGACAGATGGGTCCCATCCTCTCCTGGATCCCAGGCTGCCCCCACCCCAACCACATAACTATACCCCGACTCTGCCTTGCTCCAGGCTGCTGCGTCTGATGTCCCCCAGGACGTGATCTATGCCCAGCTGAACCACTTGACCCTCGGACGGGAGACAACACCCTCTTCCTCCCAGTCAGAGGAGCCCCCAGCAGAGCCCAGCATGTACGCTGCCCTGGCCATCCACTAGCCCAAGAAGGACCCGGACCCCACCCTCCATGGAGGGAGACTGCAGGGACCCCAGAAGACACAGGAGCTGCCTGCAGTGAACACCTCCTAATGACCCCCATCCTACCTGGACTCCTAACGTGGACACCAGGAGCTTCTGAGACTCCTTGAGAGTGACCTGATTCTGCTGTCTGAAAGCTGATATTCCCACATTTTGGAAATGAAGCAAGAGACATTTCTGTAATCCATGAGTGAAATGAGAAATCCCAAACCAAAGTGAGAGAATGTTTTAAAAAATATTATAATGTAAATATTACATATCAAACCTATGAAGTTGGAAAATTAAAAATGATGGATGCTTATATTAGAAAAGAAAAGCCTAAAAATCATTGATCTAAGGTATTATATCAAAATTTAGAGAAAGAACTCCAGATGAATCTAAATGAATGTAGAAGGAGAGAAATGATAAGATGACTAGCTACTAACGAGGACAAACAAAAAACAGAAAAAACAATAAAGCCAAAAAAGTTCCATCTTGAAAACATTAGCCAAACTTATAAGATCTAGTCAAAATAACCAAGAAAAAAAAGGAGAAGGCACACATTTCTAATCTGAGGAATGAAATTTCAGACAGCACTACAAATCCAATAGACTTTTAAAAAGGTAGTACCAGAACATTAAAAGCAATTCGATGCCAGTATATTGGAAAATGTAGATAAAATGGACATCTTCAAAGGTAAAATTTACTAAATGGACAAAAGAATAAATAAAACATAGGTACAACTTATATATGCATTAAATTCATTGACACTGTAATTGAAAATTATCCCACAATTGAGCTATATGGAATCTAAAAAGGTCAGAGAGAAATAGAGCATAGAATGGTGGTTACCAGGGGTTGGGGGTTAGGGGAAATGGAGAGATATTGGTCAAAGGGCACAAACTACCAATTGTAAGATTAATGAGTCCTGGGGATCGTATGCACAGCATGGTGGTTATAGCTAATCAGACTGTGTCATATTTTTTAAGGTTGTTAAGACAGTAGATCTTCAATGTTCTCACTAACAAAAAAGATCTGGCTGCAAAGTGAGCAGGTGCAGGTGCTACCTAGTGCTGTGGTGGTAATCATTTTCACTGTATTAGTGTAGCAGTTCAGAAGGCTTCATCTGTGCTTTCTTCCAAACATTTATCCAGCTATGACAAACACGCACACACCCCCAAAACCTACACTAAATTTTCCTAAGAATATAAAAAGAACCGGGATTCGCCGGTTTGGGTCCCGGGTGTGGACATGGCACCACTTGGCAAAAGCCGTGCTGTGGTAGGCGTCCCACATATAAAGTAGAGGAAGACGGGCATGGACATTAGCTCAGGGCCAGTCTTCCTCAGCAAAAAGAGGAGGACTGGCATGAGTTAGCTCAGGGCTACTCTTCCTCAAAAACAAAAAAAAGTTATTACATTATGACCGCACTGAGGTTTTATGAGGGGAGGGGGTTTTGGAAAGATAGAGTAGCTTAAAATTCAAAAACTCCTTCAGTATAATGCAACACATTAGCAGAATAAGTTTTTTTAAAAAAGGGATCATTTGACAGATGCAGGCAAGCTTCTGATAAAACAGACCAGCAAGTCGCAATCAAAATAAAAAGTCATCAGAAATAAGAGAGTTTCCTACAAGTTACAAAGACCTTTTTAAAACTCAGCGCTAGACATCACTTTTAATGGTGAGGACTCGAACTTGTGGAAAAATATACTAACAATATTAAAAACAATTTCATGCCAGTCTTTCCCCCTGTGAATGGGAATCATCCAAGTGTTCCCTATGAGCACATCTATTCAGATGGCGCTGGAGGAACCAACCAATTAAATAAAACAAATCAAAGTGATAACCACTGAAATGGGTAAGAATAATATTATACTGCTCAGAGAATACACAGTTGTGTGCATAGAAAATCCAATCAAAAATAGTATAAAGATGTATTACTCAAAGTTAAAAGAAATTTTCCTATATCACTGGATTCAAGACCAATGTATAGAAGTCAATAGCATTTCAGATTTCCAGTTCTGGAGCAAGATGAAGTAGATGCATGTCTTCCTATTCCTTGCCTTCATATCAGTGAGCCTGATTTGATACTTCTGACCTCCAGAATGGTAAGGTAATAAATCTTTGTTGTTTTAAACCATTCAGAATGTGGTAATTTGTCACAGCAGCAATGAGAAAAGAACATAGCCACTTAAATTTTCTTTAGGTTAGTGTTTGTATAGTACATTTATAATCTTTCTGCTTTGTTAACCTGCCAAAATATACACAACATAAAATTTACAATTTTGATGATTATTAAAGTGTACAGTTCAGTAGCATTAAACAATTTCCCATGTTGCGCAGAAATCACCACTATCCATTTCCAGAGCATTTCCATTATCCCAAACTGGGGTTCTGTACCCATTAAACTAGAACTCCCTATGTCCCCTGACCACCAGCCCCTGGTGACCTCTCTTCTACTTACTTCCTGTCTCTAGGGATTTGGTTAATCAAGGCAATTCATAGAAGTGAAATCACACAACATGGGACCTTTGCTGTCTGGTTTATTTCACATAGCATAATTTCTCAGGGTCACCCACATTGTTTATTCTTTTACCTTTAACCTATTTACTATATTACATTAGAAGTGAACTTTTTCTGGACTGCATATGATAGTGTCTTGTTTGTAGTTGTTTTCCTTAAAACAATCTTACAATCTCTGTCTTTTAATTTCTCCGTTTAGGTCATTTATATGTGATGTAATTACTAACAGATTGTTAAGTTTACTATTTCTCTTTATTTTTTTATGTTTGTCTACTCTATTGTTTGTTCTTCTATTTTTCCCTTTCATCCCTTTTCTTCGCTTTAAAAAACATTTTTAGTATTTCATTTTAGTTTCTCCTTTAGTGTTTTAAATATATTTCATTGAATGCTGTCTACATGGCTGTGCTAGATATTACCATATACAAACCTAACTTTATTTTTTTTAATTTTTATTTTTTTCGGATGGTATCATAATTCAAATTCTGTATACATTACATCATGTTCACCACCCGAACACTAATTATAGTGCATCCTCTCACATGTGACCCTAATCACCCCTTTTGCCCTCCCCCTTCCCCCCTTCCCCAAGGGTAACCACCAGTCCAATCTCCAATGCTATGTGGGGTTTTTTTGTCGTTTTTATCTTCTACTTATGAGTGAGATCGTATGGTATTTGACTTTCTCCCTCTGACTTATTTCACTCAGCATAATACCCTCAAGGTCCATCCATGTTGCCACAAATGGCCAGATTTCATCATTTCTTATGGCTGAGTAGTAGTCCATAGTGTATAAATACCATATCTTCTTTATCCATTAGTCCCTTGGTGGGCACCTAGGTTGCTTCCAAGTCTTGGCTATTGTGTATAACGCCGCAATGACCATAGGGGTGCAAGTATCTTTATGCCTTTGTGTTTTCAACTTCTTTGGATAAATACCCAGCAGTGGAATAGATGGATCATCTGGTAGATCTATCCTTAATTTTCTGAGGATACTCCAAACTGCTTTCCATAGTGGCTGCACCAGTTTGCACTGCCACCAGCAGTGAGCAAGGGTTCCCTTCTCTCCACACCCTCTCCAACATTTGTTGTTTCCTGTCTTGTTAATTATAGCCATTCTGACCGGAGTGAGGTGATACCTCGTTGTAGTTTAGATTTGCATTTCCCTGATAGCTAATGATGTTGATACTTAAGCATATACCTGTAGAAAATGTGTACATATGCAGCAGGATCCTTTCACAAGGACATTGACAGGAGAGTTTTCCCTATTAACCAAAATCATTTTGAAATTACATGCACCAAAAACGAGAAGAGAAAATTTGGTGTTCTATCTAGAAAATCAAATATTAAATGCCAGTGAAAATGCACAAACTAAATATCCAAATGGTCATGTATATCCATCTTCAAACATGGTAGTAAATAAATGTAAGAAGATTGTGAAAACTATTTGCTTAAGACAGTCCCATACACCTAAAGTTTAAAAGCAGGCATCACATATTATTTATGAATGTATACCTAAGATAAATCCTACAAAGGAAAGAAAAGAATTCTGTGAAATCCATGATAGTGGTTGCAAATAAGGCAATGTTAGATGGTTTTGTTCAAGATGGAAACCACAGACTCTTCTGGAATACCGGCAATCTTTTCTTGACTTTCATTTGATGACTCATAAGTCTACTTGTCATTACTGATAGATAGTGCTCTTCTATTCTATAAACTATCTTTATTTGCCATACAATTTAGTTAGTTGGATGACAGCCACATCCTACTAGTGCTAATTCCTAACAAAGTAGCTTTAGATCAGTTATAGCAAACACTTCACAAATTGTCATTGTGTTTTCCTCAAGCATGACTTCCAACAGCCTGATCACACTCATCTCAGTGCAAGCAGACAATGAGGGGCATTCCAGGTGAGAAGCTGGGCCTCTAAACAAATATTTTGGCCAAAAGCAGAAAATATGCAATTAAGAATTTAAAAAGAATTCTTTTGAGTTTCTGATTCTATCATGAACCAAGATTCTCAATTGGGGTGGAGCCCACTTATGTAGACTGGGGTGATTTCAGGGATGGGATTCAACCACATCAGACACTGGTTTGGAGTCATACTCATGGGGTTGACCAAGATTGAAGCATAATCAAGATGCCTGGTCTTTTTTTGGACCCTGCTGAGGGGGAAGCAGATAAAGGTAATGGTATAGAAACAGCTCTCCTTTCCTACAGACAACATCTGTCAGAAGTTGTCATGTGCCGTGTTCTATGAATACATTCTGTATGATTCTGTATGCTTCCCTCATCTTCACTGAACAAGACAAGCTGGGCTGGGGCAGTGCTTGGGTCTTCACATGCTCCCCCTATATTTTCTGGAATGGAAGTGGTGTGGACCTCAGAGAAATCAGCCCAGACCTAATTCTAGGACAACACAGTCCTCATGGCACACAGTAGCCATGATCCCTGTCAAATGGGGATCTTTACCTACCTGCTTTCTTTTTCCCAGAATTCTAAACACTCCCACCCACTTCAGCTAAGACTTTACATCTCTCAGCTCTGTCCTCTCACTTCACCTCCTTGGGGTCAACCTTCTATGATGCTCGAATGAGTTATGATACTCTGTTATCTAATCCCCAGTCTCCAAGGATTTATTCCACGTAGCACATGGCATTGTGTATACTTACATAACCTTTATAATTAATTACTTTATGGCCATCACATCCCAAGACTAGTAGGGATCAGAGAACAAGATCCCTGTGAGTTACACACATATTTTAGTTTTCATGCTTGGTACATTGTATGAAATGTAGTTGACACTTGTAGATATACTTTGACAGAATGGAGGTGTGAATAGATGGTAAATAAAAATACAGGGAGAAAAAGTTTTATTTATTTCACACGCACACAGGCACACTTAGTGCAACCTGTAGTAAAGCAAGCCAGCATCCATCCCTCTGCCGTCCTCTTTCATTTTTGTAAATTTGGTCCCTCTCTCAGTTCTCTAGACCAAGTTTTCCCAGTCTTCCATTCCACTCAGCTGAGACATAATAAGGTAACTACTAAAATGAGCCAATCAAAAGCAAAAACAAAATCATGGACATAGGATGGGATACACAATTTGGGTGCACAGAGCAAAATGAAAACTCAGGGCCTGATGTTCATATTTCAAGACGATGACAGCAGAGCATTAACTCAGCTTGGAGTCCTGTCTGATCACACAGCTCACCACCCATGAAGCCA